TATACTATAGTAAGAAAATTACCATTTTTTCAAGAGATGATCGAGATAAGTTTGTAGGTACCTACCATGAATCTGTCGCTTCTCCACGCAAATGAATAAACAAGATTTATATAGATAAGCAAACTTATTAAGACCTGGACACTTTGGCGTGACTTTGAATGGAAATCTAACACGAATACTAACATTTCCTCTTTCACCGACTGTCACCTTAAGTCCACCGAGACACCTAAATCTCATTTAATAAATCTAAGATGAGCCTACATCTTTGTAATAAAACGACGAAGACCCCCTGTCTACAGCACCGATGGATATACGAACAGCAATTTTTAACGTAACTCCTCGGATAGTTCAGCACTAAAATTCTAGTTTTAAGTAGGCACTTAAAAGGCGAATATATGTTGCATCATTACATAAATAGGTTCTATAAATTGACAAAAAAAGTGAACATTTACATTTTGAACTTTCATTAAAACGTGAATATAAATTTTAAAAAATAACCCAACTGTAAATGCTCGAAAAAGCTGTGGCTTTTTTCTATTTTGAATGAAATTGCATTCCAATTTAATCCTTATACGTGGTAAAATTTTACTGTTCCAAGTCTACCTCTTTAGATGAAGAGCACAGCAAGATTAGCCATAATAATTAATATACACAGTCCGTCCCACAGAAAAGGTGACTGATGTGAAATAAAATACAAGAAGTTTGTTGTTCGTAGTGTACATGCTTTTTTTTATTCAAAATAGTCTCCTTGTGAGTCAATACACAACCGGAAGCGTTGGAAACATTGTTCAAAACAATTCTGATAGTCAACAATTGGAATTGCCTGCGAGATCGTTGTCGTAGCCTTCTGGATATCGGAAATCGTGTCGAAACGCCGTCCTTTGATGGCCATTTTCAGTTTAGGAAATAGCCAGATGTCGCACGGAGCTAAATCCGGCGAATAAGGAGGATGGTCAAGTGCAACAATACCTTTTTCAGCCAAGAATTGGCGAACGTTCTTGCTTTTGTGCGCTGGTACATTGTCGTGCAACAAACACCGAATTCCTAGGTTGCGGTATTCAGGCCTCAACTGAAGAATACTCGACCATAAACGAGTTAGAACACCCAAGCAGTAATTTGCGTTCACCATTTGACCTTCTGGAGCAAATTCTTTATGGATAATTCCTTTGGAATCACTTAATGTTCGCACGTTGCTCCATTGCTCTTTTCACGACCGGGGGTCAAAACATACTGTTGCAATTTTATTTACTGCGAGCAGTCTGTGATGCCAGCGCTGTTCCTTTTAAAACGGAAGCTAGTCGAAACATAACACTACTTAATTCCTGCATCAGATCACAAATAGCGCGATTGGTTCCGCGAATATAAAATCAGTCACCTTTTCTGTGGGACGGACTGTGTATATTTCGAGGTTGATTTCATTTTCTGTCTAGACACACTTCCTATTTTCTTTTACACTATTACGATCACAATGCAAATTCTTTTACACGATTAAACAGGTCCAATAACTAATTTGGGGTTATGGTGAAATAAGAATTATCCATAAAGAGTTATAATAAAAAAGGTATTTTCGGCAGAATATAACGGATTCCTTATTACCGTAGCCATAGAGCATAGTCCTTACTTATTTCTCATGTCGATTTGGAAAAAGACAAAATGGAAATTTACCTAAAAACCGTAAGTACAGCTACGTCCTTTCCCATATTTCGATTTCATTCCCCTTCGGTATAATGCAAAAGACAAATGAGTTGCCAACCCAGTTGCATTGGAGTGAAGCGCCCTCAGCCCACCTGGAGGCCGAGGCGCGGGCGTGGCCCCGGCGCCGATCGCTTCCGCCAAGCGCGCGACGTCCGCTGCACCGCCCACGCCACGGCGCCCGCCCGTCCTCCCGCCCCCGCCTGCCAATCATGACACCCGCCCACGAGGCGCGCCGGGGCCTGCTAATTACGGGAGAAGGCTGCGGCCGACGAGCCAACGGTGCAAGGCAGCCACACAAGTCTCCTATTCAGACCCGAACGCAATTCTCGCTATACGCAATGTTTTTACACGACTCGGCCCCACACAAGTGAATAGTGTTTTCGGTAAACAAGGGAATTTGCGAATTGCTCCCCATCCTTAAACATTTTGAACCACTCAACGAATTTTGATCGTAAGGACTGAATGATTCCTCCATTTGCCTACCAATCATGGGTCACACCCGCGCACTACGTAAATTATATTAATTGGAAATGTAAACTTGGGAAAAGGCATGGGTGATATGGTAATTCTCAGGCTAAATATGTCGTTAATGAATGAAATTGAATGGGCGAATTAACAGAGCTCACAAGTGGGTCGACAACCCTCAACAAATCTGCGTGTCGGAGATTTTGCAGATCGGCGCAGTAAGCACAGCTCATAACAACCATCGAAAGACTTGCTAATAAGATAATGAACAATATGTAAATATTATATTGATGCTGATGTTTAATTTCAATGTCAATAGTTTCAGAAATTAGAATTTTTTTTATTAATGTATTAGAATGAGTGAAACGAAATCAAATACAAAAAAAAATGATTAACGGTGGGGGGGGGGGGAGAATAATTAAAACCAACGAGAATTTGTAAGATGAAAAGGCTGAAGACATGATACGAAACCCAGGTGCCTAGGCTTTTACGAGCGTAAGCAGATTATGAAGCAGACGTAGAACAACACACGCATGCACTGTGAGTAGGCACACATTAGAAATTTTAACATCTCACTCCTGTTCCAAATTTCGAAATGATCATGTTTGAAAGTGTACAGAGATCTAGATCAAAAGAAAATAATTCCTATAATGTATATAATTTGCATTCAAACTCGGAATCTACAATTGCTTTAATATTATGATCCGTGGAATGTTATAAAGCACAAGACAACGCGGTCTCTCTCGACAGAATAAAAACCTAGAAAGATGCAATTTCGCGGTTAAGAAACCCGGCGTTTCGCTCGTCAGGAAAGCAATTTACAGCGGCGCCCGCTAGTTGGAGTTGGGAGTGGTGGTGGTCGAAGCCCGGACCTTCGCAACCGCAGCGCCAAGGCCGCCTCGCTGAGAAACGTGTGGCGTTCCCACACCCGCTCGACGCGAGCGGGGGAAGGCGGCGGGCATAGGACGCGGCCGACGACAGCTGGTGCACAGCAACGGGCAAGGAAGGCCAACGAATGCCACAGCGTTGGATAGAGCAGGTGCCTTTCGGTTTTAAGCATACCAGCAGTTACAACAAACTGTCGGCAAGTTGTTCATGACGTCGGTGTCAGGCGAGAGTGAATCGTCTGAGAGACGGTGATAGAAGAGGAGAAAGCGTCGCAAGACTCGGGCGACCGAAGACTTCAGACTGTCTCGAGGGCGAGAGCGACGCAAAAATAAAACAGACCCCAGACATTCGGCATGTTCGACAGCACAACTGCTTTGAACAATTAATCCGAAATTTGAAATATTTTGAAATGCAAATTCATTTCGGTGAAATACCAATGACCGATTCGGGATAAAGCTGCAGAAGCAGCTGAAAACTGAAGGCCATCGGGGGAGAAGGAAGAAAGCAGAGGGAACCACCTGCGCACGCCCCGGCGGCGCCCTTGGGTCTCGCGTCACCCGCCTGCACGGCGGCGTGGCGCGGGAGAGAGAGAGAGAGAGTGCTCGCTTCCGAGGTTGCGCCACGGCGGCGCAGCGGGCCCGGCCGGCAACTCAGGCGCGACTTCCCGGGCCAAGGCCGCCGCCCACCCCGCTCCGTGCACCGACCTTTGCATGCGCAACCCAACATTTCGCGCTAGACACCCACGCCCATGCCGAGTGCAGCCAAGAGAGGACTTCCAGGGTGCACTTCGCCTCTCACTGAAAGGAGGACGGGAGGTGATCACGCGGAATGAATTAGTGTAGGGTCAGTGTACCAATTTTCGCCCCTATGCCTAATATCGTCTACTCGGTTTCCCAAGGTGCAATGCGCCCTATATATGGTTTCTGCATACGTCAGAACTGTAAGTATCACATAAGAAACCATACACGGAGCGGATGGCACTATTGATACACCGATCCTACTATAAGAAGACGATGGGATGTGGAAGAAAATTTGCGTGGGCTGCATTGTAATTATTGAGAGTGGAGATGCCCACTCCCTCCTCATTCGATCCACTGATGCTCTGGGCAGAGACTTCGTGGTGCCGTCTCGTGTGGCTGCCCAGGAACGCCGCCCGCAACGCTATCACACGACTTGCTCAGTGGCGTCACATTCTACAAAAGGCGGTAGGTGTTCGGCCTCTTCGGGCTTTAACTGTTAAAACGTCATGTTAAGAGACCCTCTGCAAATGCCCAAACCAGGCGGCCGAAGACTTTTACCTTAACAAGTTGAGTACTATGGTCCGATTAAAATAAGTTGCGAGTGAAAAGGGTCGACGGTGACAGATTGCGCACCACTGTTTCCGAGACACGAAAATAAACACTTGAAATAAATACCTGTAAAAGTAACCAAATCATATACTCATACTGTACGAAGCAATAGCTTCAGAAGCACGACTGTCAATCACCAACTTCTTTTAATCGGGCCCATACAAAAGAAATTTTACAATTTTGACCAACAGCAGCAGCGGATTGCCACCGCTCTTTTTCAAAATAACTCTCTCGCGAAAGAAAGCCTTCGGAGAACAATCATGGCCCTCATTAATCCAAGGAGATGAATAAAAATGTAAGGAATAATTAAAAGAGGAAAAAGAAAATCCTTAAACTTCCTTGGTGTCTGCGGATAAGCTCGCATGTTCGTGTGTAGGCTAGAATTTTCCGTACGTAATGGGCAAATTATGTCAATCTTCGAACATAAATATTTTCCAACGTCATTGACAAATAACGGTTGCCAACTGTAATAAAACATATGTTTACGAATTTTACTGGCATCGACAGAGGTCTTGAGAATCTAATGAACGTGCGATAAAGCGTTTCCACGGCGATCAAAATATTGGAGGAGGAGAGGGATCAGGAGAGTATATAGCTACAAGTATGACATACAACCCATTTAATATTATCGCAGCAGTTGGATATTTTCAATGATAACAATAAAAACAACGAAAATCTCGAAAATAGTACTATTTGCTTTTGATATTACAAATGTTCCCTCCAAGTAATGTTATTTTTTAACTATATTAAATTTTGGATATAAATTTACAAATAAATTTAATAAGTGCAATAATACATTTTTTTCAATAAAAAATATTGAAAACTTGAGGAAACAATATTTCTTTTTCACATGAACATAACATGTTTCAAGTCTCTACTACACAACATCATTTCATGTGCCCAATTACATACATCAAATATTATTCTTTCTAAATCACCCGCCAAGAAGTACCTCCTCTTAAACAACCGAATCTCACAACTTTTATGAATTTCTGAGGCAGCAACGCTTTAACTGACATTTCACAGAAAATTGTTTCTAGAAAAATAAAATTCTAAATCTACAGAAAATAAAGCATTTAGATAATTGAAAGACTTCCGTACTAATTCTCATTTTCAATAATTTACATCATTAATGTTTAGAATATACAGAATTGTTTTCCTTTTATATTTTACATTCCTTTTTAATGATTAAAAATATATTTCCTCTCCACAATTTCGTGCCTTTCTACTCATTTTGAACAATAAGCAGCATAAATTGACAAATTTTGGCTCTTTTTTCTTCAACTTGTTTTATTAACAGCATTAAGTAAAAAACACTGCTGGACACAGAAAAATTAAAATGTAAAAAAAAGTTCTATCTTTCTTCACTCAAAATTATTTTATACACACAAAATGATCTTTCTGCTTCATCATCCACAATTAATGCACATTGTCATATCCCACAAAACTCAAAACCTGGATAATTAATGGACAAATGTTCAGGCTCTACAAAACAGATCCTTTTGTATAGTCATGACAGGTGTCCAGAATTACAGCAAACCATTGTTGTACTTCTTAATGTAATGTACTACTTAATGTACATTAACAAAAATTTCTGTCAACCTACGCAACATAATGGAATGATGCGAAAAGAGTACACTAAGCATTCACATCTTCACCAGAGGACCAATTTGCTTTAAGCGAAGCTAAAAGGTAGTTCGTACTCACTCTCATCTGTTTGAGGGGCAGATAGAATGTCGCTGTGCTTCTTCTTGACTTCTTCGACATTGTTCTGGATCTTTTCTATCATCTCCCTAATCTCCTCCACCTATGTGTATAAAAAAAAAAGTTGGTCACATACCTCACTGAATTACTTCTAGTATTACTCCCTTCAAATTTTTAAATAAATACAATTAGTAGTAATTCTATTACAATTAATTCCAAAACATTTACTTAGAACAAATCTAATAATACAAATTACTGCAATAATTTCAGAACAATAAAGACATATCAAATACAAATAGAGAAACCAGAAGCACATAGAAAACGAGAATAATCATTGAAACAATACTTCTCTTCAGCAATGTGTAATATCTTATAAGATGGCAATATTTGCAATTTTATAATAATCTTCTTGATAATTTCAACTTGACTGACTTCAACTTTTAAAGGAAAAATACCACTAACTGTAACCACAGCACATATCAGTATTCATTTAAAATTAGAATCTAAACTTTAAAATATTCTAGAACTAATAATAATAATTTATAAACACACCTTCATACAATATTACATGTTGACAAATAAATATTATCAAAATTCCATAATTGGAATATTGTCATTAAAAAAAAAAACACATGCAAATTCTAGTGTTTATATATTTTATGCGACATATCAGTAAAAAAAATCTCTACTTTACATCTGAAATTATGTCAGACAATATCATCTAAATTTTCATTCTGTGGAAACATTTGACATTAGAATATCATAATTATTTCATCATAAGAATTTATTCTTATAACCAAGACTCTACAATAAATGTTTATTATTTCGTCTTAGTGACAAGGAAAGGCTTAGTCAGTATTCATTTATGATGAATTTAACAATATAAATGTAAAATTAGCAGACTTTCACATTGACACAAACAAAAACATGAACTGATTGCACAACATTAACTATGATTATTTTTATTTTGACAATCCCCTTCCCTTAGCTAACCTGACATCAGAAGCTTTTGTCATAAGAAGACATTGTCATATTTTCAATATAGCAAAAGTATTTTAATTGTCCCAACAGAAAATGCAAATTCTATCCAGATTTAACATCTTTAAAATTTGTCTCACTGATAATTTATATTAATAGAACACCAAATATACAATAAATATTTTTACAAACATATTGAAAAACAGTATATACATAGAACAATGACAGAAAAACATTTTGAACAATATATTAAGTCATTATCCTTAGGATTTAACTTAATCTATTCTCACTTCTTACACACGTCTCAATTTCTACTGCAATTACTTGCCAAATTACTGCCGCATGACACTACAACTTTAGAAATAAATAATTCCTTATACAGTTAAAAACAACTTAACTTAGAAAATTAGTGTCATTATATATTGGTAATATCTGAACGTATATTTGACTTCAACACAGATTATTTGAATTTGCTGCTAATGGCCAAATCCTAAATAAAGCTGAAAATATCTCTGCCTACAATATACTTCTATCAATTTGAAATATACAGAAGTTAATGGGAATTTCAATTACATCACATAAACTACTATTCTATTTTGAAGAAACATATCCTTGTAGAACATTACACTCACTTCCGCAAAGAAGTCATCCATAAAACCGTCCCTCCCTTCCACATCAACGGCATGTTCATCTGGTCCAACATCGTCGTCGTCACTCTGCGCCTGAAACAACAAAATTAGATAGATATACTGTAATGCATATACAACTACAAACAGCTGACAAAATCTGTCATTCAAGAACATTAAGTGTAAGATTTAAAGAAAAACTTGTTGCAAAACAACCTTATTACCTTAACGAATATATTTTACTAACAATTGAGTTTCCAACAACGTAAGGGTGACTTAAAATAAAACTGCCAACGTACACATCGTTGATAGTGGTATCTATAACCCTAACAATACACGATTCCTTGGTTCAAGTTTTTTAATACATTTTCAAAAGCTCTGAACTACCTCATATTAGAACTGAACATCTCTTGACATGACTGACACACAAACACAACGATAATTACTGTCAACAAAATTATGAGCTTTACTTCAGTGACATTTGCTTCGTGCATGGGGTGGGTTAGGCCCTGGTTGTTAAATGGAAATTGCAACACAACTTACTGCTTTTAGAGCTGCTAATCTATCCTTGGTCATCTTCTAACTTTCCGATTCACGCTCTGAGGACTCGTCTTGCTTTATACACACATTCCATTCACTAATATCTTCATGAAACGACACTACATCTAACGAAACGGACACTAAGTCATAAAAATCGATACGCTCGAGTTCACTGCTTCTGCCTGCAGTGCTGTCTATCAGTCTGCGCATGCGCGCCTGACGTCACCAGATGTCGCTGCATGTACACTCCAAAATAATTTTGTTTTAAGAAAACAGGTAATTTTTAAATGAGAACTCATTTGTAAAGGATTTGTTTTTAATTTTAAATATTTGGTATCACAATTTTTACATTAAAATTTAAATATATAGTGTTTCGAGTTTTACCCTCGATTCGAAGAGAACCTCCCTTCCCTAGCTTCAGCGGAACGCCATTGTGAACCGTAACGACTGAGAAGGTAGGTAATATTTATCCATGAATTTCGTTTGCATCGGTGAGTGCTTTGCTTTTTTGGTGAAGTATTTGGTTGTTGGTATTTTTCTTTACATACTTTGTGAGAAATTTTGTCGCTTACTAGCTTAGTTGTAGTATAAATTTGGCCCAAAGTCGGTGCTGAAATATCAATTTCGTATGAGACAATGAAAGGGCGCCATTTCCTTAGGATTTGTAAGTTATTTATTTTGTGTAGTTCATTGTTCATTCTGTGTGAGGTTTTATTTACTTTAATACACTGTTACGAATGTTTTATGTATTTTAGTAGTATTTCAAACATTTGTTTGGGCCAGGTAGAGTTTTCGCTGAATAACGAACATGTGTCCGCCGATACGGTCACTTTCGCAGTATGTCCGCGCGTGCATAGAGTAGCTGCATGCATGTAGAATTGCGAAGGTAAAATAGCTCTGGTTTACAGGAAAACTTGAAAATCACTAGACATGGCTGCTGAACCTGATATGCCTACTTTCAAGTGCGTGTTGGTTGGAGATGGAGGCACAGGAAAGACAACTTTCGTGAAAAGACATCTAACTGGAGAGTTCGAGAAGAAATACGTTGCAACGTTAGGCGTGGAAGTGCATCCTCTCGTCTTCCACACTAATAGAGGGCCTATCAGATTTAATGTATGGGACACAGCAGGGCAGGAAAAATTCGGTGGTTTACGAGATGGTTATTATATCCAAGTGAGTACCTGTAAATTGCACAATGTTGCGCTTTTGTTTTGTAAAGGCCCAACTACATTGTACTTTTTTTAATTTTAGGGCCAATGTGCTATCATTATGTTTGATGTTACATCGAGAATTACCTACAAAAATGTACCTAATTGGCACAGAGATCTTGTAAGAGTCTGTGAAAACATTCCAATTGTCCTGTGTGGTAATAAGGTGGACATCAAGGATCGTAAGGTTAAGGCAAAAAGCATTGTCTTCCACAGAAAGAAGAATCTGCAAGTAAGTAGTTACAATGTAGTTAGCGAGTAGTAACTAGGATGTAGTTTTCTAGTTTATGTATTTGCAACAATTAATACTAATGTGTGTTGTGCAGTATTATGATATCAGTGCGAAAAGCAACTACAACTTCGAAAAGCCTTTCCTGTGGCTAGCCAGGAAACTTATTGGAGATCCTAACTTAGAATTCGTAGCTATGCCTGCTTTGGTGCCTCCAGAAGTCACCATGGATCCATCATGGCGTCGCCAGATTGAGCAGGACCTGAAGGCAAGTTTAATTTCATTATTAATTGGTCTGCAAATAATTATCTTAATGATATGTAGAGTGAATAAGGTCTTATTTTGTTACAGGAAGCTCAAGAGACTGCTTTACCAGAAGACGATGAAGACTTGTAAATATCTTATGTTTGTGTGTTTGAGTTAATGCAAAATTTGAGATTTATAGCTAAATTTGGCTACATTCTGGTTGTTAAAAGAGAAGAACGAGGTGTCTGGTGTAGAATGAATGAAAAGAGGATTGTTTACTATTTTTATAGGAAAATGAATTGTGCTCCATTAAGCTGTGCACGTTATATGTAGGGCGACTTTCCGATAACCTCGTATAATGGAGCAATTCTTTTGCTTAAGCATTTCTTGAATATTAACACTTTAACTTGTAATTTGTTTACACATAAGTTCTGATTTATCAATAAAGTATTTGTAAGAACGGTGTTCTCTGTATGTGCATGTGTGTTTAGTATTAATGACCCAGAGAATGAATTAGTGTGAAAGAACAGATTACTTGGGCATTGCACTGTTTATTTGCTTGAAAAATGAGATAAGCATTAATTTTATTTGTAATTAGGCTGCTTGGGTTTCGTCAGGCCCAAACTTTCACTTTGGAGGATATTTTCATTGTACTTTTTGTTCTGTATAATGTCTTATATCTTGACCTGGACTTGAGCATTCAAGCTGTAAAAAAAATTCATTATTGTGGTAATCTCAAGGCAGTAATGTCATTGAATTCAAGTAAAGCATGTTTATAAATTTGATATTGCTTCTTAATGAATTCTCCTTTTTGTCCTGGTGTAAGTGGAGAGTGTAAAAGCAACCGCTAATACATAGATTAATATGATACAGGCAGTTAAAAATTGCAAATGTATTGTAAAAAATCTATTTGAATATGTTGATTGGTTGCTGTAATTATACCCGACCTATTTAATCCTCAGGCCACACTTTCTCTATTCTTGTGAATCATTACCAGGGTGGTAGTTTTCAAAATTAGTGAATCTAAAAGGTTTCTAGAATTACATTGGGCAAGAGTAAATGCTTGCATTCAATACTCAATGATTTATACAATACGATTTTTTGTATAAGAAATTTTGGTATTTGGGTAGCATTCAATTTTGGCAATTTTGGCAAATTTTTCTGGAAGAAAATGTTAGGAAATGTCCTTTGAAAACTTATTTCATGAATTCAGAAACACTGAAGATGAGTACAGTTCCATGAACTTATCGATGTACCGACAAGGCCTGGAAGATCTGGCTAGGGTGCACGCCAACTTGAAAGTATGAATGTGTTAAGTGCTTAAAGTAAAAAAAAATACAAATTTTTTTAATACTTAGCGAAGGAAATTGTTTCATGAAATATTCCTTGTTTTCTGGCCTTGTAGGAATTGTAAGGCAAATCTGAAGATGAGGTTGGTGAAGGCAGCGTGCAAATTTTGATGATTTTTAGAATTTCATTCCTTTTAACATTGATTACGCTATTTAAAATTTCATTGATTTTTTTCTCCCATTTATTTAGGGTATCAAATTCTCTTTAACATTTTCATGGACACTTCCTATTAGTTGGCACCTTTCAGGAATTGATTCACCTATTAATTGAGAAGATTTGAATTTGGGGATGTATAAATTCAATTATTTATCTAACAAATTCATGGTGATTTGTATACAAATGGAGTTCATAAGAGAATTGTTACTTGCATATGTTCAAGATAGGCCAAAAAATACAAAACTCAATATATATATATATATATATATATATATATATATATATATATATATATGTTAATCATGCCAAGAAATGTGCATCCTCAATTTTCTGATGCTAATGCAAACCAGGTATTGGGGCTATTTTGATACACTAAAAAGTAACAGCCAAAAAGTAATATTTTTATTTTTTTAACAATAAAAATAAATACATTTCACGTTTGTAGAAATCTGTAAAGGACTTATATTTTTTGGTACAAAAACTCGAAAATTGTATGAAACAATTCCTTTCAGATTACAGAATATGAAAATGAGCATTTCAAAGTACAACTCATTTTTCACTGGAACCACACAGAGCTGGCTTACAATGGAAACAATCCCTACCATTCCATCAACAGTTCCCGACAGCTACTATCACCCCTGCAGTTTTGAGACATACTGTTTGAGATAACAAATTTATAAAAGCAAACAAGAAGTGGTTGGACAAACTACAAAGAAGAGAGAAAATAGGCAACTAAAGAAAACCATTAAAAACACTACATTGTTTTTCTTGGAAGGAGGCAGGGCCTGAACGTGGTCTAAGAAGGAACTTAATTCATTTACCGATTATTTCAAAATTCAGTTATTACCAAAGTTCAATTTCTTGATATTACTCTGGAATGTATGATCTACATTTTTTACCTTCTCGCATTACGAATTCATAAGAATATAAAATTATTGAGTCAGAAAAGGCTGAAGTTTTGCCGTAAAAAACTTATTGCCAGGTTCTGGTAACAAAGAAGTACAGTAGATAAATCCTGTTGCTAAATTTGGGAAAGAAAATCCTCTTTCCAAAAACATGGATTCTGGTGTAGCTAGAATCCATGTTCCCCAGTCTCAACCCATTGAGATACAAAGATGTGTCACTGCAGTCCCATCAGGCAGTGCTAAAAAGAAAAATTTGTAACAATGGAACGTAATAGGGCTACTTTTATTAGGCCACTATTCATTATTATTTTCTTACAAGAAAATTAATATTCTAAAACGCATGGATTTCCAAAAGTACTCTGCTTCAAGCCAAATCAGTTTGAACACAAATTTTTCGTGTTTTAACTTTTCCGAAGAGATAGAAGAAAACAGGTTTTGTTTCAATGTGAACTGTAATGGGATTTAAAACTGTTAATCAGTTGTATTTAAAATGAACTTTTAGAACGTAACTTTTGGAACAGTGATATTTTTTTCTTATCAAATTTTTAAATCCAGGGATGATTCCATCAAAACAAGGGAAAGTAGTCACCCTACAATTTTTTATTTGCCAATGGTAACATGAAAAGATGCTGGTACAAAATATATTAAAATATAATGCATTCCAAATATTTTATTTTTATAATTTTTAAAATATTTATTATAATTATTTGGTACCTTTTCATTACAGTAAAATCTGTCTAAACCAGAACCTGTACAATACGGAATCCTGCCTCAACCAGAAAGCAAAAATTCTAAATGAATGTTGGGAAAAATAATAGTTTTAGTGCACAAGTTGTGGAATTTTTCTTTTTAATTGTTTAAATATTTAATATTAAATGTTTAATATTCGTTTCTTGGTGATTTCTTTCATAAGTATATTATACAATAATAAGTATATATTATAATATAGTCATATATAATAATAATATATATTACAATAATCATCTAATTTACTAATTTCCGGATGGAAACCCCCAATAAAATAACTGTCATAAAATGGATAACTCTGCAAGATACGGAAACCTCCTTAAACTGGAATACTTTTTTGTCCCAATCGATTCCGGTTTACACCAATTTTACAGTAACAATCTAGCTAAATGATTATTCTTGTATTTTAAATGCTAGAATGTACATGTTTCATAAAAATTAAAAATAATTCAAAAATTAGCTAGCAAACCAATTGGTCAAATAGTCAATACATATTCTGAGAAAATGAGCTTTAAGGGGAATTTGTCCCTCTCCCAATTGCATTAATGAGAATAACATTCTAAATTAAACATTTTGGAAACAGTGAGCTTACACCCTGCTGAAGAGTAAACAGTCAGCTGGCAAGGACACCAATCTTCGGGAACTGTCAAGCACAATCGTCCCTTGAAAAGGGAAGCATCAAGACTGGGCTGTTGACTGCAATAGGAACATCACACAGGCAACACGTACAGTGATCAATTATAGGCTACACTTTGAATTGGACTGGAAGCCAAATTTCAATCTCTTGAGATTATCTTGTCAAGTGCATACGCAGTCTGTCACAGATACTTGTTACTGATTCTGATGCAGAAAATTAATAACTCTGGGTCACAAGTGCTAGTGTAATTGTGTAAATTCTAAAATAGATAAATTTCTAGTTAATAGACACAGAACAATTGGAAATGGAGGAAGGGCAACAGTGAGACAAGAACAAAGATCAGAAACTCAAACAAGAAAAACAAAATTAGTACAAGAACCAGCAGTAATAGGTAACTTTTCACCTCATCGTGAAATGAATGCCATACTTCACATCAAAGAAAAGGAAGCAAGATACACTGAAGAAATTTCCAGCCTCATTGTTTGAAATCATTATGGTGGTATTATAATCGAGGTTTAAATAAGATAAATGCCTATTTTACGTACAGTTAGCCAATTGGTGTTCAATCAAAAATGTAAGTACTTCTCTTCTTATTTAAAATTGAATTTCATTGCAGTCTTCCAAAACTGGAGGAGAGGCATTGAACCCTTTACAATCATAAGAAATTGAAATGTCATAGAGAAGAGTGGATGTTGTTTGTCAACTTTCCAATGTTAAAAAAACAACAACAAAAAACAAGATGAGAGGTAAACAAGTTCAAGTTGCTGAAAATACTGTCTTCCCTGAAATTTCTAGTCACTCAAGGACTTACAATTTACTTGCATACTATTGAGTCTAGTTGCTTTGTTATCCTTTTGAGATTACAGAGTAAAGATTCCCCAACTGTGACCCCCAAGTGACAGAGATTTGTTTAAGTGGTGCTCCTGTGAAACTTGCAACACGAGCTAAATAACAAACAAAACTAGAATATCAAGGTGATAAATAGCTCTTGTATTACTCAACATTTAATTAGAAGAGAAGCTCTTGTATATTCACAATAATTTCACATGCCTTGAAAGAATGATGTTTCAACAACAACCCTGTGTCGTAGAAACAATTGTGAAAATGTCTCAACACTAAAATTTTAATGTTAAACATCCCACAACTTACAATACAAAATCTACTTACCGATTCTCCATTCAATGAAGCAAGGGGAAAAACTTGGCTATGTCGTGCTCGACGACCACTTAATTGCCTCCAAACCTGACTATACATTTTAAAAGGAAACTAGACACTGCAGGCTGGCTGACCAACAAGCCAAGCAGGGGACTATACAGTTAGTATCCAATTAACACACTAAGTGTAATTAACAGCTTTATTAAACCAAATTTGCTTGTCACATGCTCATACCTTCTAGGGAAACACTGAAGCTATGGTGATCAAGCTATACAGAGCATTGTACTGCTGGTGAAACTGTGTCTCAAACAGGAATGAAATAATACAAGTTTAAAGTTTTTCTCAAGGAATTCAAGATGCATTACTTTCCCTAAATTCTTCCACCAATGTTTCAAACCAATACTATTGATCTCTCTCCATTTTTCAGAAACATCAGTATCTAAGATAAAATATTTGATATTAAATAAATGCAATTTTTATGTAACAGAACAAAGGCCTGTTGAAGACAATTTTATTTGTTGGAAATGTATTAGGAAACACTAGGCAATATTATTCGTATTCAACTATCTACACAAAAATTTAACTACCACATATCAGATGTCACTTTACGATGTTCCACAATTATGACAGATCTTTTGAATATGTCCTTTCTTTTATAAAATCTAGTACTCTATGGACTTGCAAGACAACACAAAAGAGGAAAATAAAAAGACACTTGCAAGTCATTTGTCCAATTGTACAGTCTTAGCATAGTTCACTGAACAAAACTATCCACAAGAGGTTACTTCAAGTTTGTATCCAGATGCATCACTTTACTGTTGCTCCGCTTTAAGCCGTTGTTCTCGAGCTTTCTTGCCTTCTGTCAATGATTGTCGCTCTTTGTCTGTTAATGCAGGTAGAATATTTGTAATTACACCTGTGCCTAAGGTAAGGGATCCATCTCTGAGTGTAAACCTTTGACCCTTTTCCAAAACCATTGGCCGCATTAGTCTTAGAACCAGTCTGGAAAATAAATACGTAAATTTCATTCATCACAACAAAATATTCACATTCTTTCTTTCACAAAATAAATGGAAAAATTGTTGGTTTTTAATGTATTTACACCAAACTAATTTTTAAAGAACATGTATTATACTAGTAAAAAATACACAAAAGTTCAATACCTTGGTTTCTGCACATATCTATGTGAATTGTAAAATATATTATCTTCTTTTAGAAACAATACAAGAAAAAAATTAAAAATAGAAAACAAAATACTAGAAATACAGTAAATTTTTTCAGATATTTGAAAATTACTTTCCAACTGGCAATTCAATAAAAAGCATGCTTTTACAATAAAATCAAAATTAGTGGTTGTAATCTCGCATTCAAAATGAAACAAAATCTAATAGATAGTACAAATAAAAATGTAAAACATGGCGAATTCATCCACAAAATTAAAACATTTGTATCAAATATGTGTTCTTGCATGTGATAAATTGAATTAGGTACTTTTGTATTAGTATTTAACAAAGCGGCACCCACAAAGCAAAGGTCTTCATTTCAGGCGCACACAGTTTCCAAATTAAAACTTTTCCTAATATCCATTTTAGTAACTAAAAATAATGTAACTGATTTCTGCCGAGAGAAAAATTTCCTGTACTCCATAAGGTACCCTGGGATAGGCCCTTTTGTGACTGGAATGTAACGACACTGCACCATTGGTCAAAATGTTAAAGTTATATTAAAATTCACTTAAATAGACAGGTGAAGTAGCTAGAAAGTATGATCGCAGATGGGTAACTATCACAAAAATGTCAAAATCTCAATTTTCAAAAAAGAGTGACTTACATCCTTCTCAGATTAGACAAGCAAATAAGCCTTGCTTCCAGAAAAAAAAACAATTGAGAAGAAAATAACAGTCCTAAGAGTCTCGCTTGAAACAGTACTCTTGAATTGTAAATTACAGACATCTCTCCTCTCCAATCCTGTTTGATAGTAATAAATTAAAAGAATTATGTATGACAAAAAAAAAATTCAGTCTCACTTTGTATCCTCCCCAGGCATCACCATTTCCTTGTTATCTGGGATGGTTACTTGCGAAGCACAGTCCCATGTTCGAGAAAACATCTGTAACTGAATGAATGACGTGAAGGGTCTGGAACGACCTCCTTCTTCTTTGGTTAATATATACACCTAGAAGGACATACAAAATGACAATTAGGGATAATTGTACAAAGAATTTAAAATATCTTCACAAGCAATTCTTAAATCACTAAGTAATATCAGAAAACAGTTTACTTTTCAGCATCCAAAAGGAGATCAGAAGTAATGAAAGAAATTGCTTCAAAACTATTTCTACTCAATACGTAAAGAAGCATTATTTCCTCACTACATATAAAAGTGAAAAATTACTATTGTTTTTTTACAATATTTTATAGTAGTATCTCAATTAAACAATTTACTTTCCAAAAATAACTGAGGATTTCAAAACATGAACAGCTTTTCAAAAATGTGGTGTGAAACATTATGCTTGTCAACAATGTCATTTTTGTTTTATTTATTATTTTACTTTATAAATCTTCAAGGATTAATCTTGCCATGTAAAAAATTATGTCAAAGTGATTGGGATCTATCTTGGGTTTATTTTGCTTCTCTGAAACAGTAGTCAATGCTGCCTTCTATGCTTTTTCAAATTGGCTATAATACTATTTCAATCAATATTTCAATCTGTAAATTTGGAGAATTAACTTCTTTCTCACAAGTTTCCTTACTTTCATCATCTGCGATATCGCAACTACTACATGAAAGTCAATTTGGAGAAGAAATCCTGCATTTTGTAAAACATTTCAAACATAATTGAAGTCAATAACAACATTTAGTGAAACTTAAAAAATTTTCAGTTCGTTATCCTAAAACACTTATGAAATCAAATCACGAACACTGTGAAAATACCATACTAGAAATTAGAAACCTTTTGATACAAAACAGTACTTGCCTGGGCCTCAACTTGATCACAAGCTTTCACAGTTCCTGGTTTGCACATGACCATTCCACGTTTAACATCATCACGCTTAACTCCTCGTACTAATGCACCCACCTGGTCACCTGCCTGAGCTTCTTCTAATATTTGATGGAACATTTCTACACCTACAAAAAATATTTAAATTTTCTAAAAATGTTCATGACCTACATGCATGTACCTGATTTTTCTTTTATTACAAAGGATGATTTACAAAATGTACTATCTGCCAGAAAGCCATTTCTCCAGGTACTATTACTTTGGTTTCCTGTTCTAACCCTCGTGTATTTAAAAATGAACCATAAAAAATTAATTTAGAAATAACATCTTAATTTATTGCAATATTTAAAAAATCAAGAACTGCATACTTCACTTAAATCAGGAACTGCACACATCAGTTTACCTTTTCATAATAATAAACAAAAATTTAAGAACTACTTATCCTACACAATATGTATAGTGAATATTTCACTTCTGCCAAACCAATTTCTCACCAGCCAAATCCTTATTGAATCTAGTAAGTGCTTTAAGCATATGAAAATCACCAAGGATATATTAGTCTCAAAGTGAAGTAAATTATATTCCACTGTAAAAATATTTCCAAGACATCTTTCTCATAAAAAATATTGCTGACCCAAGAAACAATTCATTTCCTTTTTACCATATAAAGGTTTTGACAGCATTAAAAATTCAGGCTGTCCTAAACACTACTCAAAGGGAACATTACGGCCACACTTTTCAATTAACAATTCATTTTCATGTTTTTAAATAAGCTATGGAAGGCCACAAAAAGAGCAAGAAACATATTAATAAATCAGGAGAAAGATAACTTACCTGTAACAGTTGTCTTCAGCACTTTGTTATAGCCAACAAATTCACATTCCATTCCTTTCTTTAAAATTCCTCTCTCTAAACGACCTGTGACAACTGTACCTCTTCCTGTAAATTCAACAATAAAACACTGTTAAACTTCTGTACCAATATGCATTAAAGATAATTAAAAAATTAAAAAAAGCACAAAGGAAAAAACTACAAACCTTGAATGGAATATGTGTTCTCTACAGGCAAGAGGAATGGTTTATCCAATTCTCTTACTGGAGTTGGAATATGTTTATCTACTTCATCCAGCAATTTTAAGATAGCCTGAGCACCTGTGAAAAACATTGTTTCAATGCAAAGGGTCATTAAAAAAGTCAAAAGTGATCACTGGATTATTATTAATCATTAATTTAAAAAGGGTATTCCAGTTATAATGTCAAATGTTTATTAACAGACATTTAAATATCAAAGTGTATGGTCCTCTTCACTATGTAACATATCTGTAACTATTTAAGTTAAATATTTATAAATATTTTACATATCGTTATGGTTTAAACTGAGATTTTATGGTAATTCATATTATAGATGTAAGGAGAAGATAATCCGACCACAATGAATAAGAAAAACAGTGTATTTAACACATTATACACAAATACAAATATTACCAATCTAGTTTTGGGGAACTTTCCCCATCTTCAGAGGCACAAGTAACATTATTATCTAAAACATGCTCGGATAATGTGGTCAAATATGCACAGATTGAGGTTGGCAGAATTCAATATATTTAATACGGTTGTTGAATTTTGGTTACCTCAATATGTACATTAGCACTGGTTTTACTATTACTATTTTGAATATTCTCTGCGTTGTCTCTTATTGGACAAGAACAAGAGGAATTGGAAAGCAATTCAACTACTGGAGCTACAAAAGCAACACATACTTTCTCAAACTTTTTTAACAGTTACACAGAACTTGAAACATCTCTTGAAAAAATTTGTCACTAAAAGAAGATGGGAGATTTAAATTAAATACATGCTTTTAATTTTTGAAAATTCAAAACATACTATAAAAATGCCTCTTGAAGTATAGAATTCAAAGTATTGTACTCTAACCTCACAAAAAGTTAAAAGAAAAATATTGACAAAATCTCGTATATGTATTTGTGGAAAATTTTCTAGAGTTCACACAAAATTATGCCAACACTATTATTCTCAAAAATGTGTCCATGAAATACTTTCATCCTTCCTTATCCTCATCATCATAATCAGCAGCAGCAGCCACACTCTGTTTAGGTGTAGTGTTCCTTCCGTCTAGTGGTTAGAAAAGCTGTTTGTTAATACAGTGAAGAGTTCTAGGTGCCATCATCTTGGTGGTCTGCTCCCCTCACTTTTGCCTTCTGTTATGTATTTTAATATTAGAATGTCCAATAGTATCATTTCAACACTTATCTATGACTTCCAAATTAATGTCTTAGCATGTTCAACTATCTTTTTCCATTTTTCTCTATTCTTCGAGTGCTTGATTGAATTTTAAATTTTCATTTTCCTGATGACATTGACGACATCAGCTTTCCATCTATTTTTAGACTGCCTCCTTCTCCACTGCTCACTGGATTCCAATAAAATATATTGTTCACTATTCTATCATACAACATCCTATTAAGATGACCCAGCCACATTGCAACACTTGTGGCATCATATTTTGTATTCTATTTTTAGTTATCTAGCGAATTTCATACGTCTTCATTAGTTTAGATGTGTTTTATCAAGAACAAGAATTTTTTAAATATATATAAAACTTTCCTTGAGCCAATCAGATAACCAAGATTGCTAAGGCAGTAGTGCCTTAGTGGTCTCAGACCAGAAGATCGTGGGTTCGAGTTCGGCCTCAGGCATGGGTGTATTTGTGTTTGTATGTGTGTGTCATCCTCTCAACCCCGACTATCATCATCATTTTGTCTTCCATACCCCCAAGCCTAACAACCCTGGGGGATAAAAATTGGATCAAGCTAAATGCTGATCTCAATTAAAAATTACATACACCTGCCACCAAGGTAATGTTTCTAAGCCCCAGTAAATGCAGGGTGCATGCACGCATGGTCCAAGTTGGCCTAACCACAAAATTCCCGAGTAGCCTATTCAATTTCTTGGCTCATTTATTGTAATGTCAGCTGCTGTGACTACTATGTAATGTAAGTTTCCTGTAACGTTTATCGGCTCCATTGTGAGTTCGGCTGATTTCGCAATAAATAAAGGAAAAGATTTTCTTTTAAAGAACAGTCCAAACCCAAAATTTGCAAGCTCTGTTCACTTGGAAGGAGCCTCAATTACATCAATAACATATCCAACAGCTTGAGTTGTTCATCTGAAATTGTTTGGATGAAATTTTTTTAACATTATTTTTCTTTGTTTTTAGCGTATTTTTAAGGATTTTAAGAGTATTTATGGATCATTTTTGGCAATGTTTTAGGTCATCAAAATATGCCCTCTACAAATTAACATATGATTCTGTTATAATGAACCTGAACCTCGGTTAGAGGAAATACAACAACCTAGAAATTAATACCCTCCTGGAATGGAATATATCGCCTCAGTGCCACAAATTCCAACACTAGGCAGCTTGAAAAAAATATTGACCGAAGGTCATAATTCAAGAAGTCTCCCCTGAGGTGAACATAGCCAACCCGGAACGGGAACCTTACTGATTACTTCATGCCACTCAGTTTCAAGCATGATGTTACACGATACTTCGCGAGTCAAAGCGCATTGTATTCTCTACAGGCTACAGGAAGCAACAGCCTCCCGATACCCGCCACGCTGCAAGGGACAGCTATTAGTTTCATTAGCTGCTTGCACCTCGCCACTACCAAAAAGATCTCGTATAATTAGGCAAGTAAAAAGGACTTCGAAGAGAGGGGCTTCCAATAGTGCATTACGTGCCAAGACTGCATTACGATACTTTGAGACAGTTGACAATGCAGGATCAAGTATGGTGACAGCATGAACTCTGGAGAAGGATCTAGAGAAATTAGTAACGAAAAATGTACGAAGCAAACAATTGAAAATTACTGATTTTTTGAAGTACACGTGAAGATATTAAAATTTTCAGTTTGTGCTGTTAATGTATTAGTATTTTCTGTGTATCTTCATATATTAATAAAATCAATTATTGTGGAGAAATTCTATTAAATTTTGACAACTCAGATAGAGTGAACCAGAAATGTTAGTCCCCAGAAGTTCACTATAACCAGGGTTTACTGAATTTTTTATGTAAGTGTTTCTAAAATGTTTCGCACATGTCGTAGTTCTGTTCATATTCTTTACCTATTGTACTTCTGTTTCCTTTACCTATTGTAAGATATACCAGATGTTTTGGAAGCACTTCAAGAAAATAATAGGTGTGACAATGAGTCAAACTCTGAATTGGTACTATGTACAGACTTTAGTTCATTCAGACTCATCCCTCAACCTCATATCTCTCACCAGTAGGGCACCACTGGAACAAGCTCTAAGCTGGCAAGTCTGGCTGGTCTCCCAGCATGCATGGTAGTGTAGTGCATGTAAATGTAAACATGTGTAAGTAAAGAGGTGATGATAGGACAAGAAAGAGGAAAAAGTTCATGCATGGTCCAAAGGACATTTGTCAGAGTAATGCTCAGGCATTCACCTGGTGTTCATTGGAGAAACCACAGAAAACTACTGATCAGAGAAGCTGGCAGCTAGAATTTCCCCCCAGAGAGCAAATTAATTCTACATAGCTATGTAGTTAGTGTAAAAAATTCTGCCATCATTAGGTCTTGAATATGTATGAAGTGTTTTAGAAAGAAAGATAATGAACAACAAAAAGGAATTGCACAATATCTTTCACAAAAACTGAGAAAAAGAAGTAACATATATTACATATTTTAACTGGCATAAAAACAGTCCCAGTTTGGATGGACTTGGATCTGCAATAACCTTGTTTAACCTTATGTACTAATGTAATGGAATGTGGTTGAAACTACATTTAGATAAAATTATTCACCAATTTCTGGATTCTTTCCTTCCAGTGCACAGAGAGCTGAACCTTGTATAACAGGAATATTGTCACCATCGTATCCCATTTCACTCAACAACTCCCTGATTTCCATCTCAACAAGTTCCACCATTTCTTTGTCAGCTGCATCGACCTGAAACAGAAAACATTAATTGCATCCTCAAAATTGACATGCAGGGTAAATTCACCAATATAAATGCATTGCCCCCATATTTATTTCTTAAAGTCACTAATGAACAATAAATAATGTTTGTTCCAGAAGAATTTTCATTTCTTTACCTTATTAATAAAAACCACAATATGATTGACACCAATCTGTTTCGCCAATAAAAGATGTTCTCTTGTCTGAGGCATAGCACCATCTGTAGCAGCAACTACAAGAATTGCCCCATCCATTTGGGCTGTGCCCGTGATCATGTTCTAAAGAAGAAGCAATAAGTGAAGGCTCAATATACTTATAAACACACATGGAACTTATCACAACAAAAGTAAGATGATACCTTGATATAATCGGCATGCCCGGGACAATCCGTATGCCCATAATGTCTACTATCAGTGGCATATTCCACATGCGCTACATTAATTGTAATTCCACGTGCTTTCTCTTCAGGTGCATTATCAATATCGCTGTACCCCTTTGCTTCTGCAAGTCTTTTATCAGCTAAGACTGAAAATATTGGTAAGTCACGAAAATATCATACATTTATGATTCCAAAAACCTAATATTTACAAAGCTGCCTCTAACCTTTGGTAATTGCAGCAGTAAGAGTGGTTTTGCCATGGTCTACATGTCCAATTGTGCCCACGTTACAATGTGGTTTTTCACGGGAATAGACTTTCTTCTCAGAAGCATACAGTCGCACATAGTTAATAACAGGAAGAGCATATTTATTTGCTCGAATACAACAATGCTGCAAAACAATGCTGTAGTTAATAAAACATTTTATATTGCACTCTATCAGGCTTATTATGAATTATTTTCTTCATATTCGTACTTACGTAATTTCTCAGTTCTTTTGAGAAAATAAGTTTCACAGTTTTTCGAAGTACTGCAACAAAAAGAGAGAAATATACCAACAGGAAGTATGCTCATATCGTTTAGTTTTTTTTATTCACAATGAAAGTAATTTTGTCACAATATTCAGAGTAATTTAATGTTAAATACATATTTTATAAATAAATGAACAAAAAAGCAATAGTAACGTCAGAAATTCATTTTCAACGAACTTAACCTACAATTATCAGCCGGGAATGAATATTTTCATGAGAAAGGGCAAATTATATCATGCAGTGATAAAATAAAAAAGTAATTTTCGTTACTTCGTTCAGTAAGCTCATAGACAATTTGAAAATATTTTAAAATTTATACCTGGATTAAAAATTACTCTCGAAGTCATTAACGACGCCATTTTTAGTTTTCTACTCTTCTGCGGGCACGAGCAGGCAGGAGTAGCCTATAGTCTGCTCCTTGTGTGCTTGCTAGTACACCAGTGCAGCATGTGCAGCATAGAGTGGAGAACAAACAAAGGCGCAACCATCTACGTCTTTTGTTTCGCGAGAAGTTTGATTTAATATGTTTTGATGTATTTATGGTCAAAAACCAGTAAAACTGTACGAAACGTATGAGGGACAAATATAATTACGCTTATGTAAGAAGTAATCTCGTGATCACACAGACACAACCGTATAAAATTCTATTTAAACCTTTCATTATCATATGCCCATAATACGTTGCAACGACTCTTTCCACCTTCTATCTTGATCTATTAACCCTCTTCTGTCCAAATTATTATTGTGAATAAAAAGATATACTTCTTTTTATGAAAATGAAGTGTTCTTCTTGTACTGCCATATATAACATTCAAATACACTTAGAAGCTTTCTTAAAAGTAGATCAGAATCTTAACTGCTACAAAATTAGAATTTTTACAAACTGTTTTGTTACTTAGCAGTAATGAATCACAATTCATGACTGCGATGTGTTTTTCTTTCCAGGACTTTTTTTTTTTTTTTTTTGGTGAAAATATACTATATTTGTAGAAAGTAAATCAATTTAATTGTTGGAAATGATGGGTTGATTTTTATATATGTAGAAGTTAGTGTTTAATAAATAAATATTTTTTGCAGAATTGATAAAAGTAGTAAATTGAAAGATAGCATTATGTATGATGTCATGAATTTTGAAATCCATCATTTCGACGTTCTGACACAATCAAGCTTCTTGGAACAACCTCTTGGAAACTTCAGGCCTTTCAAACATTACTACTCTGCACTTCAGAATGAACTTTCTAAATAATATAACTTTTCTGTACATAACAAGTATTTCTGGATTATGTTTTAAAAATAATGTGTAAGGTAACATTATCAAGTCTAAGATTAGTCCAACTATTAAAATTAATGATAAGAAATGTGAAAAAACAAGTTTGGAATATAATTTAAATGTAGGTAGGTAAATTGAAACTAGAAAATAGACAACCCGACAGACAATAGAAAATTAGAAAATATTGTAAATTAAATTAATCTGCTTTGAAAAATATGCACTACATAGGGAAATTTGTAACAGGACCAGCATTTCAACTCACACAACACTTATAAGCATTATGCTGTAACTTTTGGATTGTTCGAAATAAATTAAGTGAAAAGTATATATGTAAATTATTTAAATAAATAACGTGCCTGTCTCAAATGTGTGACGTGCTCTCTTTTACTCACAGACAGGAATTACAAGACGGTCAGACTAATTTCAAAATTAGATTTCGCGCACTGTTTCTGATCGTGGCGTGGCTGTTCGTTAGAATTGCGCTTCCGCAAGGAGCTTAAACAATGACGCAACCAGGAAAAGATTGCATGGAGCTTCATTACTCACACACGCGCGCGCGCGCACACACACACACACACCATAGATTATATTCATCCATGCTCACACCGTCAGAAGTCGACAAAACATATTCACAAATATAGTTTTTAGAAGCATTTATGTACGAGGTGCAAAATGAACTTAATTTTACGGATGTTCCATCTGAGGTTTCGTCCCCTACGAGAGAGTTTGATGTCCCTGTTGGAAAACAAATTATTCTTGCCAGGGTTACAATTAATTCATAAAATGTGTTTTTTTTCTTCTATTACGTTTTTCGTAACCACGTTCTCTTAGCCATTTACATTTACTGGTGTCAAACGTGGAGTAATCCTCCGCTAAATAAGTCAGTCATCGTCAAACTGCCTTTTATTTCTTCGGCCAGGGACTCGACACCGTTAGATCCTCGGATTTTCCAGTCGGTCACCCATCCCGGAACCCGTAGTGTCTCGAGTTGCTTAACCTTCGTGACTTCACGGATCGTAGTTAAGCACTTCGGCTGCCGACGCCATTTATGATTTTCTCATTTAAAATGTTCAAATCAAGGTCATTGGGGCGGAAAGCGAGTATTCTTAGGGTTGGACTGTTGCGAAAGCGAAGCTGGCCTTCACTCATCAATGCTTCCTTCTTCGGGTCCTGGATGTCACCTTCGGGAGGGGGGATTGCCAATTCGCCCCCTGGCCCTGTAATATATTGCCGGAGATTTGAAGAAGTTTCTTGTCTGATCAATGGTAAAACACGAGGTCGACAACTTTTCAACTATTTAACCATATGTCGATAATTCTTAATTAAAACGTAAGAAGTGTCACGTTGTGGCACCACCGATTTGGAAATTTTGCAAAAATCTATTACTTCACCTCGTTCACTTCCTCGAAACATTTGCTTTGTAAAAGGTCGCCTTCACATGAGCGACACCCAGAATCGCCGGGCCCCGACACACAGCCGCCAATGAGCGCCACTGGGCGTGGAAAAGAAAGAATTCCTGAGTCTCGCGTTATGAGCGTCGGCGGCCGCAAGGTAGGTAACACTGTTTAATTGATAGTGGTGCACGTCAATAATGGTCAAGCTCGTGGGAACTTCCCAATAGTCTCGCGGGAAGGCAACCATTTAGAAATGTGCTTAGGCGTCCGCACAGGGAGGGGCAAGGCTCCCTTGAAATTTCCAAAAGGCTTGCGTAAAAAAACATTTTATTTCCGTTTCTGATAGGTCACGCACGCCTGAAGAACTGGGTTTAGCTGGCGCAAGGTCCTCGTTATTTATTATATTTTTACATTCAGAGGGCCATGGTGCGGAAGCACTCCTCTGCTGCTGGGGGTGGGGGTGGGGGTGGGGTGCGCCACTAATCGTCACTGCGCCGCTCATGTGAATGCTTTGTATGTCATATCGATGTGGCGTCTCAAACTACACCGTATTGAATTCAAATTGTATTTTTTTATTGCTCTCGTGTATTACGAGCTCAAGGCGAATGTTTTGCTCTAATGGTAAAAAAAATATTTTTCATTGCCGGTTCTGACCACGCCATACCTTTTCGGGGTCTCTAAGTAGCCGCCATAATGATTCAAAAATGTCCAATTTGCCACTAGGTCATGTATACTCTCTGCTGCACTGCATAGATTTTTTTTTTTTTTTTTTTCACATTCAAAAATTTGTGCAGCGCAACGCTGACAACTGCAAGCCGCCATACTTGTGTTTCCCTATTCCGCAATCCAACAATGGCTAACATCTCAAAATGTTTTAGCTTTGAGATTATACATAGATTTTCTTGCTGGCTCCCGGTATTCGGAACGTACTAGCGGGCGTTACAATACTGGCGACCACAGGGGGGCCAAGGGCAGCGAAAAAACAGGACCATGGGGGAGTAGAATGACCCCCCCCCCTCCAGTCCATGAGTGCATGCTAATGCTGTCCGAGAGGCCTCCCTCACCTACGAGGAGGCTGTGAGCGATCATGGCCGCCAAACAAAAGCGAGCAGAGATGCCGGGAGAAGGACTTGGCTTTCGGATTGTCTCGCGTGCGGTCACAACTGCTAGCCCTGGAAGGCGAACATATTGTGACGTAGTGAAATAAGAAATAAATTTCAATAACAAAATAAAAATAATATATTCAAAGATTATGTACAAGTTACAATGAATTGCTAATATTAAAACACTCCGGCAACCTTTTCCTTTCGGAACACTGCTTTACCGCAGAAAATACAAGCCACGCGTGATGCGCGCCGTCGGACCTCTGTCCCGTGACAATTACCGTCACATGGCCTGACGCCAAAAGTTAACCCGGTCGTGGCGACCGTGTGCCTACAGCACGTGAGATTGTCTGGCCCTTACTCTCCGGACATCTCGCCCTCACTCCTACACCCTCCTTGTACATACACGTACAAGCTACCCGATGCAAACTGAATGAGAACGCGGGCGCAGATGGCGCCGCGTTAAATAGTTGAGGCTGACACCCCCACCACTGTTCCATAGATAGGCCCGCCGGCTGGCGCGAGACTCGCTGGCCAGCCTTGGTTTACGCCCCCACACTGGATTCTCAGGGTTGGCTCGCCTGCTTCCGGTTGAGGCACGCTAGCTAGCCTCCTCGGAGTTTACAGCCAACGGTATTTTTGTGGCTCTGCGGCTCTACATGAGTCAACCGCCAGAGCGCAAACTCCGGATGTTCAGGCTTAACCCCTTCCTCCCCCGCAGCGTACTTTCACCAACCTAACGGTTCTGGCCCTCGTGTTAACGACGCCACAATATACTCTTCGTGACACTGCGAGTGCCTTGCATTGGGGGTCCGGGTGTACCGGCGCGGTAAAGCGTCTGTTTGGAGGATGCACTAGCCAGGGGACGGGGAGTTGTAACTTATGCTTGGAAGTAAAGGAGGTAGGTAGCGAAAACAACCCCAGAGCTGTAAATAGTTGTAAAATCTTGTAAATAAACTGATTGTACATATCGTGTCTGAGTCTTCATTTCGCTACCACGACGCCACACTACCATAGAAGATACTTTTCCATGATTCCACAACTTAAATCAATGCTTTGGCTGCATCAGAGCCATCGAAATTACTGGTCTGTGACTCCGTTTGAGGGGGCCCCAAGTAAATACGTTCTTTCAGTGCCAGAATACTTAATTTGACTATCATTTCAAATTGCTAGTACCTAGTAAAAGTGGAAGTGACACTGAGTGAGGAACATGTATTATTATTTCGACAATTGCTTGCTTGTTTGCAGCGTGGTTGAACAGGCCTTTGTTGTCGGTACAAATCAGATTCGGGCGAACACGCGATTCACTTTGTAACATTGCCATTTTCGAACAAAAGGGAGAGGAGTGGCGAAACAGTCACTGCAGACATTTTGAACGCCCTGTAAATCAACAAATAAAAAAACATTTTACATTCGTTACCAGAGAAATTTTCTTCAGAAGAAAACATATGCTTAGGCACTACACCTACAGCCCCATCCCCAATAGAGAAAGTATTAATTGTTCCACAAAAAGTCCAAATTTAACAGCAAAAGGAAATCTGAAACTCCTTATGAAATCCCTCTCTGTGATTTTTTTTGTTTCATTTATTGGCATGCACAGCCTAAACTAAGAGGGGGGCAACTACATTATGGTCCCTCTGGGCTCTCTTTTCCCTATTCACTATTTTTTTACCTACGATATATTTACTATTACAGTATCTCATATGTCAATTCAAGAATTCAAAAGAAAAGGGGATCCTTTCCCCCTTCCCCTAATGTTTAGGCTGGACATTCCTTAATCCATACCCCTACCTTTTCTAACAACAATTCAGTTGAAAATTCTCCTGCAACGCACTTTCTTTAAACGATTAACTAATAATGCAATATAAATAGGTGGTTAATATTGCCTGACTGAACTAAGAAATCCTTTTCAAAATCTTCTATTCAAATAACTTTTGAGAGATATAAGATTAAAGGGTTCAGTCAAACAAAATAACTTTGTATTTTGAAAATATAAAAATATTCCCTGAAAGTATTTGTTTTGAAACTTATATTTTCACCAATAGAAAATAAAAATTTCAAAACAAATTTTTGATACAAAATGCGAAAGCATTAAAAATACATATTTTAAATACATTTATACAGATGCTTGTAAATTTAATACTGATACATTTAGATACATGTATACTTCACCACTGATCATGAATCTCTACTTCAATACTGATACTGACATTTATGTCACTTGAAACTTTTGAAATAGTTAATACCAATATAATTACAGGATTATACAAATTCTGCACCTCAAAAGATACAACAAAGATGCATTATACTATACATCCCCTTATTTTAGTAAAATATTTGAACGTACTTCCGAATGGCATCATTTGTTCAACACAATAACATAAATGGATTTGGAAAGCAAACTAATTCAAATCTCTTCCCCATCCAACTGTGGACAGTAGAAATCGTACAATTATGAATGACAAAATTCACAAGATTTTAAACATTAAAAATATGTGTGAAAATCAAAGACAATATTTTCAAGACTGTTAAATATGCTTGATTATTATAGTAATTTTTATTTTAAACAAATTTTTAGCAGTTTGGTCAACATTTCTTACATTCGAAATGTTTCATTTAGTAAGCACATATATGATTTGAATGTTGCTTTGCCAACAGTCACTATAAGCTGTTAAGTCACTATAAGCTATTCTGAGAGGAACACAACCAAATTGATGACTTAAAAGAAGATTGTTGCATCTTAGAGATGTATGACCTTGAATATGGCATGCATCTCAGGGCTGTATATTAAAAAAATATTTGAATCTGTGAAATAATAGTTGATATAATAGGCTTCTGGGCTAAAAAGGTATTGTACTGAAATTAGTGTCTTTTATTTCTTGGAGAATTTTCTTCTAGTAGAGAGCCAAACAAAGTTTTGTGCTTCGGGGCCCTACAGTACTTTAATCTGGCTCCATTTCATTCGGTAACCAAAGAATAATTAGGAATTAGAAAGTAATCAAAAAATATTTATTAAGGAATGTACATAATTATAGTTTTTCTAGTCTCAGAAATATTTAGGCATTCAATTGAGAAAAAAATGTGTAATTAGACCTTAATAAGTACCTGAAACTGAAGGAGTTTTTTCATGACACTTCATTGAAAATACAACATATGTACAAACATCCATGAATAGAGAATAACAAATGTAATAATATAAACATTCTATGAACTTTTATTTTATACATATTTATTATTGCTCCCCTGTAAGAATGTAATTGAAACTGAATAAACATCAAACAAACATTTTCTCAAAACATTTATTTCAGTAATCTTTATGGCAAGTTGATTGCATAAGAAGCATTCACATTTCGAATAAATCTGGCAAAAATTATATATTACAAAACAATTTAACTGAATTATTCTTAATTCATTATCTCACTGATGAACATGGTTACTGTTTAAAGAATTGTTTCTTCTTTAGTTTGTTTTAAAGCAGAATTAAATTATCCCAAGATCATAAAGTGTATGTGCTTATATTTTAAGCAGTGCTTGATTTATTCTCATGATCCATAAACACCACAGGGAATGTTTTCTTCGGATCGGCGGTACCCAGTTGTGTGTAGCTATTGATTAACTGTTCTCTCAACTCTTGACGTCGCCGTAAGCGCTCTGTTTTGTGAAGGCGAATCGATTTAGCCAGAGAGCAGCCAAACATAACACCTAGCAGCTGTAACCATAAAGACAATAAATAAGATATTTATTTTAGCTTAACTTTATGAAATGAGCAACTTTAAACAAAAGATAATTAATGAGAGTGATAAATATAATTTAGTGTTTCAAAAACATCAAAAGTTGTTGTATTTGAAATAAGAAAAAGAGTATTTTTCTTTTGAAATAAAATTTTGTTATTTATTTCAGAGAAATTACTTTCTTAAATTCCTCAGGGTGTAAATGTGCTCATTTTACTGTTGTTTAATTAAATTCAAGAAAGTACTTCTAAAACAAAATTTCATTACTTGCATAAAATTTACTGAAATACAAATCTTTCATCCTATTCAAGAAGGTATCACATACCTGCAGTATTGCAATGGACATCGCTGCTGTGGCCAACAGCAAAGCGCTCTGTCCGACCAAGAATTTCATATGACTCAGACACCCTCCAGCAAAAGGTATGCACTCCATGCTGAAATAAAATTAATTTTCAAGAACTCATGAAACATTTACATATTTTCAAACTGTGATAGTTTTTGTAACAGACACTGAAAAAAAATATTATCTTACTTTTCGAGATAGTCAGAAAACTCAGCACAGCATGAACCAGGGATTTTCTTAAGGTTGAGAGGTTCAGGAAGGGCTGAAATCAAACTACTATCTTCATTGTGTGCTGCATAAATATTATTCCAGTCACTGGCATTGGTTATTCCGCAACATTGTAGCTTTAAGAGAAAAATTGGTTAAAAATAAAAAATAACCAATATACAATAAAAAAGTATTTTCTCATTCAGAATTTACCTCCTGTTGCATAAAGTCCACTGTGGTTTGGGCATTTATATCACTGTAGTAATCATACATAGTAGCATTCATTTTCTCAAAAAGCATGTTTGTTAACCCATCATGCAACATATATGCAGCAATTGCAGCTGAGAATTCCAATACAAATATAACTCCAAGCAATACTGAAAACTAATAAATACACATTAATTAGAATTAGAATACACAAATGTGACAATGAATTTCCTGTAGTTCTATGTAATCAACTACAAAACTTGAGAGCAGCAGGTCAGGAGAACTCTAGGTCAGGCACAATCCAAAAATTAGTTGAAGTGATATAATTTTCCACTCTTATTATTGGTGTACTTCTTCAGTAACTTCCTCCTTCACAACACAATAGACATAGAAGTGTTGATCAATGTATTCAGACCTTTCTCAACTCTTTAAATGAATAAATAGTCCAGGTTAAATGTGCCCCAACATGGAAATGCTTCCCACCTTTTCATTTTTAAATTTCTTGGTTACAATAAATTGAATAAATTTATTTTCAGGTTAAATTCATCAACTTTCATAACAACAAGTGAATTGTAGGTAATTTGTTATTTCACATTTAGATATACTAATGCAGATATTGGACAGAAACACACCATTAATATTTTTCTAATTTCATTGAAGAACATTGAATCTGAAATAGTTTGACTATACTATGATATCATTTTAAACTTTTGTATTTGAATTTAAATGTAATCATTACATTAAATAGAAATATAAAATCTTATCAAATCTTATCTTATAAAACCTATCTGACTTCATTCTTACAAACTATATATTTTTTGAACTCCTAATCCCTTAGATAAACTGTGCTTGATTATGTGACATAAGGTATTGTGCCTAACAAAGAGTTAAAATTATTTCAAACAATGATGTTGCTTTGGCTTTTAAAAGATAAGAGGGCTAGTAAAGTAGATACTCTATTAATCAGTACTGTTTTCTTATATTACAAAATCTTTTTACCAAGGTGAGTATCTCTCAATTTTTTCTATATCTCATGGATATTCTATTGATTATTTTAATGAATGTGTATTAATATTTTTTTAAATTATTTTTAGTATTATTTAGATTACTCTGCCTAGCTGCAATCTGAAAATTTAATTATTTTATTATGTCTAAACAGAATATCTACATGGTTTTTATTTGAGAGTTTGAATTTCTACTGTAACATTAATAATGTTTCATTAACAATCATTCATTAACCAATAGTACCTAGTTAGTAATATTTATTCTCAAGTCATAATACTACTGTACTTCTAGTTATTACATTATTAATATTTCAAGTAACATTTCCTTGAAGACAAAAGAACTCATGGAATATGGAAGAAGGGAGATGGCTATTGATGATTAAAAATTAATGAATTCTTTTCTTTATTTTATTTTTGAATAATTAATTCAATTTCAGCATCTTTAGTCCATTGGATAACAGATGGTAAACATATTCATATTCTGCAAGAGCATGCACAAAAGAGTAATTTCTTGTTGTTGTTCTGTCACACCAATTTGCCTTTGATCTGAGGATATTCATTACCTAATTAACTACATTTAGAAAAATCATCAATTTTTTTAACCCTAAATATTGTCTTACAATTAATTATCTTTGTGCGATGAACTCTCAATTCTTAAAGATGCTCCGATTCGACTAATTACAGAATTATTTCAAATGAATAGCGGAAAATCTAAGAACAAAGTTATGGACTTACCACCATGATCATACAGGTACTTTCTCGAATTGCACCAAAGCAACCAAAAAAGGCAACAACAAAGATAATGAAACCTGTCACCACCAAAAGTGTGGTGGGTGGAATAAAGCGATGATCCAAAAATGCAACATAATCACGATAGATTGCATTAATAGATATTCCAACAGTGATTACCAAAACACCAGTCATCTGTAACAAAAAAATTGTAATCATTTCTTAATTTAAAATTAAAACCATGTTTTAATATGCTTTTACAAAAAGCTCTTTTTTAATTTGCTGCATATTAGCAAGACGTCTCTGTACTAAGCCCTTCCGTCCAGCAGTTCGTCCGTCTATCCAACTGCTTGTCCGTCCGTCTGTACGTCCGTCCGTCCGTCCGTCCGTCCAGCTGCTCGTCTGTCAGTTCGCCGCCTGTCTGTGCGTCCGTCTCTTTGCGCGTCCGTCTCTTTGTGCGTCCGTCTCTTTGCGCGTCCGTCTCTTGGAGCGTCCGTCTCTTGGCGCGTCCGTCTCTTTGTGCTTCCGTCTGTCTGTCCCGCCGTCTGTCTGTCCCGCCGTCTATCTGTCCGGCCGTTTGACTGCCCGTCCGTTTGTCTGCCCGGCCGTCTGTGTGTCAGGCCGTTTGTCTGTCAGGCCGCTTGTCTGTCAGGCCGCTTGTTTACCCGTCCGTTTGTCTTCCTGTCCGTTTGTCTGCCTGTCCGTTTGCCTGTCTGTCCATTTGTTACTCAGGAACTTGATCCTATGACCAAACATTGAAATGACCCATTGTTTTGCTTCTGGACATAAATGTAGCTTCACTACCTGTGCACGTTCTTTCGAGTTCAGTGAGGAGTAGAATTATTCAATTGTTGTCCATGTTCTCGCAGCAGAAAGTCGATGGCGTAAGGAACATTAGTCAAACTCTGTATCTGATTTGCCTTTGCAAATATTTTTTTTATTATACGGGAGAGAACACTTTTATACCAATTCTTATCAAAAACGCTCGTTGCTACCTGTATTCATCATTCATCTTTATAATTATAAGAGTTAGGATAGATATTACAAAACTCATGAAACCGTGCAAAGATTGTACCTCTCCTACTGTACGTCACACATTATGTTTAACTGTTTTTGACGTTAAATAAATAAACAACAGCAACCTTGCTGATATTCTTGGTTTCCTTAGTGGCGTAACGTTCGGACCCGCAAGGTCGGTGGGCCTGGGTAAAAGAGGGCCCGTTTAAGGGGATATTTTTATTATTTAAGGTAGAAACACTACTTGTGTTAGTTATACTCTTATAAAGGGGCCCGGGTAAATGTTTTGCGGGCGGCCCCGCACTCAATCTGATACGCTGTTAGTTTTACTGTATATATAATATACTATGTTAAAATTGTATTCAGAAGAACTATTTTTTTAAATATTTAATTTATTTTAATGCTAGTTGACTGTAATTTATTTGTTCTTGAGAAGTGTGCATTCTACTTTGTTATAAAAAAATTGCGAGATTTTGTTCATCAGCATTTCTGCTGATGCAGATCACTAGTATGAAAATAATTTATTAATATCTCAAGCATACATTAATCACCCAGAAGAATCCTTAGATATCGACGTTATCTAGCTTCGGTTGTCGCCGCAAAAAGATACGGAATAAAGAGCAATATCTACCAGACTTTTACTTAATATAACATTGAGGATCAAAATGGCAAACTCGTCGCAAGTTCTGACAGTCTACAAAATCTGCACGGCCACTAAGCGCTGAACTAGGAGCCCGAGGGTCTAACGGGTCAATAAATCTGGCCAACGAAAAAATTGTTTTCAGGAGGAGACTGCCAAACGGATGTGGCCGTTTTAGCAGATTCATAATTTTATGGAGATTTCCTATGCTAGCGGCTAGATCGTTTAGGCGACTTTCTCCAAAATCGATATTCCTTAATCGATCTGGCTGATGTCATTGCTCCTTGCATTTCAAAACGATATTTTAATTTTGGGGGTACTTTACATGAAGTCTCTGGAATATTTTAAAAATTTTCGGGAAAAAAGTCTCCGTCGTTTTTTATTAAATTTTGTTGTTGGGTAGTGAAAGTTGAATTGGGTAAGAAAATGGTGCAGGTATTATTTTCATTGAAAACGCTGCTTTTTCAAAAATTCAAAATTGTTTTGGCGTCTTCCAACAACTAAAATATTAAAGATATAGATATTTTACCTCAATGAAATCTATTTTTTAGATAGATTTTGAAATAAGATCGTGTACAATTGTTCGAAAATTTGAGTAATTTTCGCGTAATTTTGTGCTAAAGTGCGGATGAGAAAGTATGTACTGTTTTAGCACCATTAGTTTTTTTTTCTTTTAACACCACTAGCTTTTTGTTTTTAAACTTGATTTTTTTCTCCCTCTTTCCATTCCAAAATCTCCTCGTTACTGATGAGGAAACGAAACTTCATGAATAATGCGACAAGGCTGTCTTAGAAAAGGGCTACTAATTGACACAAAAAGCACGGCAGCGGTAGTGAACCTTTGCTTGAGCCAGTAGGTTTTCGTGGGCAGTTTTCGATCCACAGACAATAGAAAGTAGATGAGTTACGTGCATCACCAATCCTATTTTAGTTATTTCGGTCGATGTTCGTCACAAAATCCATAATGCCGCAATTGGTTTCAGAAATGTTGAGTAATGAAAACGGATCGATAACTTTCTTTTTTCTCTTCCTGGTGCTACATTGAACACTACAAAGTTCAAAGCATAATTTGGTTTAGTCTTATTTCTGGGCTGAAATAATTGTGATGAAATGGTCGGTTAATATTCAATGAAGTTGATTTTGAAAATTATGTTCACGTAACCTGAAGTGTTTCGTATTTACATGCATATATGTTATAATGATAACAAAATATGTAGTTGTACTTGTATTAAGAGGATTGTGTTGACTAGGAAGAAAAAACACAGTTCAAAAGTGGAGGTCTCAGTTCTTACGCTGCAAAAGAGACGGAAATAAGTCCGAAACATTTATTTTATTTACACAATGTTTTCCGAATACGCATCGAACTAAACTGATTTTCTCCATATTTGTTGAAAGTAAATGTTTATGCTTTCTTTAAACGGTGTTGAGGATCTCAATTACGGAATAGTAATGTTTGGCGGTCAGTACTTCCAAACATTCCTACACACTTATCAATAACCCATTGGATATTATTCAAGAATTAAAAGTAGAACTCTTTCCAATTATTTCTCAACATTCTTGCAAACTTTGATACATTATTTCAAAGTTTGTAATACTTAAGTCACAGAACTATCTTTGAAGTACAAACTGATCAACACATCATAAATCAAAATAAAGGTGTATAAATATATTAACTTTTGATAATATAACATAAACTCCAGTGTTTTAAATGCAATTTTTTTCGTCAAAAACAGTTAAAAACTGTGTGACGTACTGCGGGGAGGAGTGTATTCTGGGCACGTTTCCTTAATTCATTTCGACCTAGGTGAGCTGACTGCAATTATCTAATCCCATGTCATCCGGAATAGACACGTCTGCTGTACGACACTTCTGAGATGTAAGTTTTGTAGAAAAAAGTCTAATTCACATTCGAACAATTTCGCTCGCCATTAATTATATATATATATATATATATATATATATATATATATATATATATATATATATATAACTTTTGAGGACAAGTCAAGTCAAAGGTATCGAAATGACGATGTATAAATAAACGAACTTAAACTTCACTTACCCGATTCTTATGTTCTTTAATGTAACATCCTAGGGCAATTTTACCTGTGCTTAAGGGTGTCAATAAAAAAACCTCAAATAAACTTAATACGATATATATTGACTTACACTCGAATCTACCACGAAAAGAAATATCCCTACTTTATTACTTGGCTATCAAATCACTGGTTATATACAAATGTCTTCGGGTACTCGCAGCTGGACGCTTCAACCTGAATTTCCCACGCTTGTCAGATATTTTCTGGATAAATTCGATAAGTTGAGGGTTGAGAGGTGAGGCCATGGCTCGTTTCTAAGGATAAATATGAATATTGAATGGAGACGCAGCTTCGCGTGCGATCTGTCACCCTTTGTTTACATTAATACTTCCGCAGCAGCCAGGAATAGATAAGGGGCAACCACGAAACCGATAGTTGAGAGCAGCCAGTCTCTAGAATCCTCACTCAGGCAGTGGTCAGCAACTCTTAACACCGTCGGAATACTAGATCAAATAAGTTTAAAGAAGCAGCATTTCCGTAAAAAAAATTATCACCTATCATGAAAAGAAAACATTGTAGTGGGACTACCGTTCGTGAACAATTTGTAAAGTCATAAGCGAGGGATCCATTGAAATTTCGTAGATTCATAGGCGCTTCGTTGGCTTTCAGAATGTACGAATCCACCATCCCATTGAGTATCTTAGGTGCCGACCACTTTGGATAGTGACTGTACTCGTATGTTTGTAATTGTTCACTTTGGACAGACCCGTGAAATGAATACGAGAACATTGACATCTTCACGATTTGTGCTGACGCGCTCCTCAGTCTGTTGAGAAATTCCTCTCTTTTAAGTAATGTATTAAATTTGAACTCAAACACTAATCTCAAATAAATAAACGTAAGTTTTGAGCTTTTCTCACAAACGTTCATCTCCTCCTACCTCAATCTAGCAATATTATAAAATTGCTTGTGCCAATATGAACGAAAACGTTTAGCACATGTTTTTTAAGGACCTCCATTCGACCTAACGGATGCAACCCATTTTTCAATAGGTCTATTTTAGAGTGTACGACGATGAATTGTATTTTCTTTCTATTCTCATCTTCCAAGGTCTCCATGGGAAGAAAAAAAGTGGTGTACAAGTATTATTCAGGGTTATTTTGAAACACTAAGAAGTTATTCAGTACATATTTATTTTATTATCTATTATTATTATTATTATTATTATTATTATTATTATTATTATAGGGTGATGATGAGGGGTGAAAGGACCAAGATGATGGTAGGAGGTATTAGGTGGGGTAGTGGGACGTGGGAGATGTTTTTGGGCCATGCGTATTGAAATAAAGAGTTCCGGAACCAATCAGAATGCAGCACTCCGGGCGGCAACGACTAAGACCACAAGAGTCTGGTACAGTTGTTTGATCAGCGGTCTCCAGATGCTCTACAATGGCAGGTTATCACGATTTTATTGAGTTTGATCGTGGTGTTACAGTAGG